AACTGATGGGTATCCCCTAAATTTCCAATTCTTGGCCACCACACAAAAAGAGCTGCTATAAATATTTTTGTACATGTGGGTCCTTTTCCCTTTTTGTGATCTCTTTGAGATACAGACCTAGTAGTGGTATTGCTGGATCAAAGGCTATGCAGAGTTTTATAGCCCTTTGTACATAGATCCAAACTGCTCTCGAGAACAGTTGGATCAGTTGACAATTCCACCAACAAGGCACTAGTATTCCAATTTTCCCACATCTTCTACAACATTTATCATTTTCCTTTTTTGTCATATTAGTCAATCTGATAGGTGTGAGGTGATGCCTCAAAGTTGTCTTAATTTGCATTTCTCTAATCAACAGTTTTAGAGTATTTTTATGTGACTATAGATAGCTTTAATTTCTTCATCTGAAAATTGCCTGTTCATATCCTTTGAACATTTCTTGATTAGAGAATGCTTGTATTCTCACAAACTTGACTCAGTTCTCTATATATTTTAGAAATGAGGCCTTTATCAGAAACATTGGCTACAAAAATGGTTTCCCAGCTTTCTGCTTCCCTTCAATTCTTGGTTGCATTGGCTTTGTTTGTGCAAAAGCTTTTTAATTTAATGTAATCAAAATTATCCATATCGCATTTCATAATGTTATCTATCTCCCGTTTGGTCATATATTCTTCCCTCTTCCATAGATCTGACAGGTAAACTATTCCTTGTTCTCCTAATTATAACAAATAGTATTTTTAAAGAAAAAAAGAGGAAAACATCAGCACAGCCTATCCATGCACTGAAAAAAGTCCAAAAGCACATGTAATGGGCAACATCTGTGGATGTCCCAACTCTGTGAAGGGGTGGGTTGAAGGTTTTTTCTCATATCTCTTCATTTGAGTTATGTTTGAACTTCATACTTTTTGCTATATTCACTTTTTTTTATTGTGGGTGTTCTTTCCATTTACATTACTATAGTCATTGTGTATATTGTAATCTTGGCTCTGCTTACTTCACTCTGTATCAGTTCATATAGATCTTTCCATGCTTCTCTGTATGCATCACACTCATAATTTCTTATAGCGCAATAAAATTCCATTACATTCATTCACAAAAATGTGTTTAGCCACTCCCTGATCAATGGTCATCCACTTTGTTTCCAATTCTTTGCTATTATCAAAAGTACTGTTATATAATATTTTGGTATATGTAAGGACTACAAACTAGCCAGACTGGTCTTCCTCCATAAATGAGCTATTTATCCTACCTGGTCCAGGCAGAATAGTTGTAAGACAATGAAAACACTTCAAAACCATAAAGTTTGACAGAAACGTAAAACTTGGAGAGCCAAGATCTGCCATTTGTTTGTTTTTTAACTGGACTTGTGATTTCTTTGGTACAGAGAATCCTAATGAGGAAATTCCCTTTTACCAAACTAGATTGGCACCTATTCTGCAATTTTTAGTGTTGCCTGAGGCACTAAGAGCTTAAGTGACCTGCCCAGTCATACAACTAGTAAGTATGCATCAGATCAGACTTGCATCTAGGTCCTCTTAATCCCAAGGCAGCTAGATGACACAGTGGATAGAGGTTGGGTGTGAAGTAAGGAAGACTTATCATCCTGAGTTCAAATCTGGCCTCAGACACTTACTAGCTGTGTGACCCTAAGCAAGTCACTTAACCCTGTTTGCCTCAGTTTCCTCGTCTGTAAAATGAGCTGGAAAAGGAAATGGCAAACCACTCCAGTATTTTTGCCAAGAAAACCCTAAATGGGGTCACAAAGAGTCAGACACAACTGAAAAACAACTATACAACAACAGCATAACATCTTTACCCCCAGTGTGACTCTTAATTCACTTTGTATTTTCCAGCATGTATTTCTTTTGCATTGATTTGTGCACTTGCCAAAGCAGTTGGTAGCATAGTATAGAGCACTGGGCCTAAAGCCAAGAAGGCCTAAATTCAAATCCAGTCTCAGGTGCTTCCTAGCTGTGTGACCCTGGGCAAGTCACTTAATTGCCTGTCTCTGTTTCAACTGCATAGTAGGGATAATAATAGTATCTACTTCAAAAGGTTGTTGCGAAAATTGAATGAGATAATATTTGTTAAAGCACTTAGCACAGTGCCTGACTAAATAAATGCTCATTTCTTTTACTTCTCTTCTACTTCCACTTTTAAGTACTTTGTCCCTGAGATGAGTTTTGTTTATGTAGTAGTGATTCTAGTCTATTCCTATCCCAGGAATACCATTCCCATTCATCTGTTCTGTCGTATTAAAAAAAAATTTTTTAGAAAAATTTTTTTAATTGTTAATTTTTTCCTAACTCTACCAGTAGATGGAATACTGGACCTGGACTCAGGAAGACCTGAGTTTAAATATGGCCTCAGATACTTACTAGCTATGTTATCCTGGGAAAGTCACATTGTCTAACACAGTTTCTTCATGTATAAAATGAGGATAAGAATAGCAGAGTTGTTATGAAGATGAAATTAAATCTTTTAAAGTGTTTTGTAAACCTGAAATAACTATATAAGGACTAGCATTCTGTGTGTATATATAAATTTACATGTAAATATATACATATGATATATTTATTATTTTTGTTTTCTTCCCCATCTAGTCAAGCATATGTGTCAAAATCTTTCTTTTCCCCTCCTCCCCTCCAATGTTATTTCAAGTAACATTATTTTGTGGCACCCTTTCCTAAGAAGTCTTTTTTTGTCCTTATTTCTTTTGGCCTAATTAAAATTCTTTTTTCTAGTTCACTGGATATACTGTTACTTGTTCTTTCTTCATTTTCTCTATATTTCTCAAGAGACCAAAGTTTCTAAAGTATCAAATTTTAACTCCTTCCTCTATTTTATTTTTATGTTAGTGCATAGTTTTACCCCCAAACAAGTCAGGAAGCATTTAAAGCACACCTACAATGTCCCAGGCACTGTGCAAACACCTGGGGAAACACAGAAAGGCAAAAACAATCCTTGCCACCCCTCAGGGAGTTCACAGTACAATGAGGAAACAACACGCAAACAGCTATGTGCAAATAAGGTCTATGCAGGATAAACTGGAGACAACTTTAGTGGGAAGGCATGAACATGAAGGGGGATCGGGAAAGACTTCTTGCAGAAGTCTTTAGCTAAGACATGAAGGAAGCCAGAGAAGCCTGGAGATGGAGATAAGGAAGGAGAGAATTCTAGGCATAGTGGAAAGCCAATGAAAATGTACACAGCATCCAGAGATGGTGTAACTTGTGCAAGGAACAGCAAGGCCAGTATCACTGCAGAGTAGTAGAGAGTAAAGTATAACAAGACTGCAAAGGTATGAAGGGGCTAGGTTATGAATGATTTTAAAAGCCCAACAAAGGATTGTGTATTTGATTTTGGAGGTACTGAGGATTCACTGGGGCTTATTGAATTGGGGAGGAGGATGGAAGAAAGCATTAGGTGGCTTAGTGGATAGAGCACTGGGCCTGGAGTCAGGAAGACCTGAGTTCAAATCTGGCCTTAGACACTTACTAGCTGTGTGACCTTGGGCAAGTCACTTAACCTCTGTTTACCTTAATTCACCGGAGAAGGAAATCGCAAAATCCAGTATCTTTCTCAAGAAAACCCCATGGACAGCATTGATATGCTATGGTACAGAGGTTCATAAAGAGTAGGACACAACTGAATGACTAAACAACAAGGGGTGGAGAGCAGTGTGGCATGGAATGGAGTTGGTGGAGGTATAAACATCAATGAGAAGTTGGTGATGAGGGCTGGCACTACGGTATATGAGAGTGAGGAGTTGAAGATGACACTTAATTTGTGAGCTTCAGTAACTGAAATGATATCAGTGCCCTTGACAGTAATAGGAAGTTAGGAAGAGGGAAAGGTTTGGAAGGAAAGATAGTGAGTTCTGTTTCAGACACGTTTAATATTAATAAGTCTCTGTGACATTGAGTTCAGATGTCCAGTAGGCAGTTGGAGATGTGAGATTTTCTCTTCTGCTCACTGCTTAGAAATATCATGAAGAAAGCAGTGTTGAATGGAAATGATTTCATGTACTGGGAGTCACTCGTTGTTTTTCTTGGAGAAAATGGTCTTGTATAAAATTTCCTCAAACTACCCAATATAAAGTCTTTGCTCCTTACCAGAGACACATATTTCTCCCAAAACAGGAATGTGTTTTTTTAATGAGACCCTTTCTATTCCCTTCCAATGAAAGAATCTCCCCACCAACTTCCTTGATTTAAGCGCCCCCTTTTCACTGACATAATGATATAAACAGCTCCATCATCAATTGTTAAGCAGAAAGATGGTTAAATATTAGGACATGACTGCCTCCTTGCTGTATTGGGAATTATTACCATGACATGTACTAGAAAATATATGAGGTTTTCTACTGAAAATTTGAACACCTAAACCATTTAGCTCCAGGAATAAGTTATACTGTTCTAACTAAATAGTGTTAAACAAAGAACTAGATGCAAAGTGGGTGCCAACCTACTGGGGAGTGGCTGAACAAACTGCATTTTGTGAAAATACGGGGATGTTACTCTTCAGTAATTTGAAGAAACATCATAAAACTTATATGAACTGAAACAGAACAATGAGGGTAGAAGCAAGAGAACAATGAAAAGAATATTAAAATGAAGTCAAAGTCTGTGTAATTTTAGTAACCAAACTCCATCCCAGAGAACAAGCAGTACAACATACCTCACACTTCCCAACAAAAAGATGGAGGATTTAGCATAAGCAAAATATCACAATCACAGTCAGATGGAGCACAGTACCACAATGACTACATCAGTTGCTTAGGTTTACCTATTTGTCTTTGTTATCAGAGACAATTCAATTTGTTTTTTTCAGAGGGTGGAGAGGGAATGGTATGTCCAGAAATTATTGTAACATAAACCTTAAAATCATTAATAAAATATGTATGTGTATATAAAATTGTATATATTTATTAGTGCTAAAAGAAAAGGAATCATTACATTAATATTGTCAATTAATTTCTGGTAGAATGTTCAACTTACTTGAGTAGGTTTCCAAGATTGAAAAGAGCTCGGTTATGCTGTGGGTTTAGCTGTAGAGCCCTTTGATAGTACTCCTTTGCTTCTGTCCTGTCTTTGGTCAGCGTTCCAAGGTTGTTCAGGGCACTTGCATGATGGGGATACAACCTGAGAAAGTAGAAATTTCAAGCCATGATGTTCTAAATGTTTTTCAGTCAGGTAAAGTATGCTTCTTCCCTTCCCATATTCCCTTGCTAAAATCATACATGGAAATTATCTTTTTCTTCCTTTTAGTAAGGCTGTTTCATAAATACTCCTATAAGGATTGGGCTAAAATAGATCTTTGAGACTGTTTAATTAGATTCCTTAATTTCATAGGTGAAGAAATTGAAATGCTGAAATTATTTGCCAAAGGCCATATAGCTAATTAGTAAAAATCTGGACCTAGGACTCAATTCTCCAGATGCTTTTTTTTTAAAGTTTATTCTGCAGCATTTAAAAATATTTTCTGCATGTGAAAACAATTTTTAAATTCACTTTTTCAAATTTGGAGTTCCAAATTCTTTCCCTTCCTCCTCTCACTCCTTCCTGAGAAAGTAAGCAATTTGATATAGGTTAGTTGGTTGTTGTCCTTTGTTCTTGAAGATGACCAAAAATGACATCATTATATTGGAGTCAAGGTACAGTACATTTGACTGTAACTGATCAGACCAACATAAGCTTGGAAGGCTCTTCAACTGCTTGGGCACAAATAGTTCACATGGGGGCAGCTAGGTGGCACAGTGGATACAGCATTGGCCCTGGAGTCAGGAGGACCTGAATTTAAATAAGGCCTTATACACTTGACACCTACTAACTGTGTGACCCTGGGTCACTTAACCCCATTGCCTAGCCAAAAACAAAAACAAACAAAAAACCAATAGTTCACATGAACATTTGGCCTGTAGATGTCTCTAAATTTGCACATCTCATGTTTCTTTTGTGGTACTGCAAATCGGCTTTCTTCATAGAGTACAGTGCCTTCTTTGATGTGGGCAAGCCATGCTGGGTGGTCCTTTGCTAGTGTCTCACACGTCACACGATCGATTCCAAAATTTTTCTAAGAGACTTTGAGAGAGTTCCTGTATCATTTCTTCTGACCACAATTTGAACACCTCTGCCTTGCGTGCGTTCTCTGTAAAGTAGTCTTTTAGGCAAATGTAAACCTGGCATTTGAATAACATGGCTAGCCCATCGGAACTGCACTCTCTGCAGTAGAGTTTGAATGCTGGGCAGTTCAGCTGAAGAAAGGACTTCAGTGTCTGGTACCTTACTGTGCCAGGTGATCTTTAGAATCTCTCTAAGACAATTCAAATGGAAGCAATTCAGTTTCCTGGCATGGTGCTGGTATTTTTAGGTTTCACAGGCATACAACAATGAGGTCAACATAAAGGTTCTGTAGACTTTCAGTATGGTAGTCAGTCTAATACCTCTTTTCTCCTACACTTCTCTTTAGAGCCTTCCAAATATTGAGCCGGCTCTGGCAATGTGTGTGTGAACCTCAACATCTCTATGTACATCCCTGGAAAGCATACTGCCAAGGTAAAAGAAATTATCCATAGCATTCAAAATTTTTCCCTTTTACTATAGCTGATGGTTCCACATACAGATGGTGCAGTGCTGCCTGCTGGAGAAGCTGGATGTTAATTGTTAGGCAAAAATTAGCACAAGCAGTAGAGAATCAACCCATTCTTTGTTGCTTCTCAGAGTCTACATACAATCAATCATCCATGGACAGGAAAAATCATGCACCAACTCTCCTTTTACTTTAGTCTTATCTTGTAGCCTTTTCAAGTAAAATAATTTACCATCAGTGTGTTAGCTGAACTTGATGCCATTTTCATCCTTGTTGAAGTCTTCTGACAGTAATGCTGAAAAAATCATGCTAAAAAGCATGAGAGCAAGCACACAAGCCTTGCTCTTCTCCATTAGTAACAGGGAAAGCTTGAGAGCACTGTCCATGATCCAGAACCCAGGCAAGCAAGCCATTGTGAAACTGACATACAATACTGATGAATTTCTCTGGGTAACCAAATTTTGACATAATTTTCCACAAGCCCTCATGACTGACAGTATCAAAGGCCTTGGTTATTTTGATGAACATTGTATACAGACCTCTGTTCTCCTCCTGGCATCTCTCCTGGTGTTGTTAGACACCTTTTCTAGTCCCTTCTTCATTCCAGGAAGTGATCAATGTGATCCTTAAAAGGCTGCTCAGATACCCACAGGGCTGCCAAATCCCACTGCTGCTTCCAATGAGAAGATGACCCTATGGCTTGGGCCACATGTGTGCAGTTCCCAATCTATCCACATCTGCTGCTTCTTCACTTGTCTGTCACCATGGGACTTTGAGATAGGTTAAAAAAGGTAAAATGCTATGGGTAATATCTTGGGATGTAGTAAATGACCTTGGTGTCATCTGTCTAACCAAGTTCTAAGAGTTCCACAGCTCTGCTTCACCTGCCTTCATGGCCATTGGAATAAATTGTTCTCATCTGCCCATTCCACTGGAGGCAGTCTTCAAATGCTTAAGGTAGACACCCCCCTAACTCACCAAAGGGTCTGATACCCTGTGGTTACTCTCAACCTGGTTTAGCCTATCTGCCAAGAGTGTTTACCAGGATGTAGTCACTGTGCATGCTACAGCTTCTTGGAGTACAGGTGAGAGCTGGGTGAATCAGATGGACACCACAGTAGAAAGCAGCTCTGAAAAGGGCTCAGCATTCCTCACAGTAGAGGGACAAGTCTTCCCTGAGTAAACCCTGCATCCCTGATATAGGTTATACATGTGCAATCAAGCAAAACATGTTTTCCCATTAGTCATGTTGTGAAAGAAAACAAAATATGAAAAAAGTGAAAAATAATATGTTTTGATCTGCATTCAGACTCTATCAATTCTTTCTCCAGAGGTGGATAGCATTTTTCATTATGAGTCCTTTGAAATTGTCTTGGATCACTGTTTTGCTGAGAAGAGTGTCATTTACAGTTGCTCATCATACAATACTGCTGTTACTGTGTGCAATGTTCTTTTTTATTTCATTACATTCTGCATCATTTCATGTAACTCTTTCCAGGTTTTTCTGAAATCATCCTATCCATCATTTTTTTACACATAATAGTATTCCATTACAATCGTATTCTACAACTTGTTCAGCCATTCCCCAATTGATGGACGTCTCCACATTTAGAATTCTTTGACACCACAAAAGGAACTGCAATAAATCTTTCTTTATATACATAGGCCCTTTTTCCTTTTTGCTTTTTATCTCTTTGGAATGCGGACCCAGTAATAGTATTGCTGGGTGAAAGGGTATGCACAATTTGATGGCCCTTTGGGCAGAGTTCAAAATTGCTCTCCAGAATGGTTGGATCACTTCACAATTCCACCAACAATGCATTAGTGTCCCAATTTTCCCACATTCTCTCCAAATTCATCATTTTCCTTTTCTACCATATTAGCCCATCTGACAGGTGTAAGGTACCTCAGAGTTGTTTTAATTTGCATTTCTCTAATAGTGACTTAGACTAAATATGACTAAATAGCTTTGATTTCTTTGTCAGAAAATTGCTTGTTCACATCCTTTGACCATTTATCAGTTGAGGAATGACTTGTATTCCTATAAATTTGACTCAGTTTTTTTTATATAGTTGAGAAATGAAGTTCTTATCAGAAAAATCTGCTGTAGAAAAAAAGTTTCAACAGCTTTACATTTTCTTTCTAGTCTTTGCCGCATTAGTTTTGTTTGTGCAAAAGCTTTAATTTAATATAATAAAAAATACCCATTTTCCATGCTATAATGCTCTCTACTTTTTGTTTGGTCATAAATTCTTCCTTTGATCTCACAGGTAAATTACTCCATACTCCTCTGATTTGCCCATGATACCACTCTTTATGTGTAAAATCTATACCTATTTTGACCTTATCTTGCTAAGTGTTGCAAAATATTTGTCTATAGCTAGTATCTGCCAAACTATTTTCCAGTTTTCCAGCAGTTTTTGTCAAATAGTGAGTTCTTGTCCCAAAAGCTTGGATTTATCAAACACCAGATTACTGGGGTGGGGGTCGGGGGGAGGCACTAGATGGTGCTGTGGATAGAGCTCTGGGCCCAAAGTCTGGAAGACTCATCTTCCTGAGTTCAAATCTGGCCTTTAGCAGTTACTAGCTATGTGACCCTGGACCAATCACTTAACCATCTTTGCCTCAGTTCCTCATCTATAACATGAGCTGGAGAAAGAAATGACAAACTACTCCACTATTTTTTGCCAAGAAAACCCCAAATGGGGTTGGATACTACTGAAACAAATGAACTACTGCAAAGATTATGATGGTCATTTACTACTGTGTATTATGTACCTAATCTGTTCTACTAATCTACCACTCTATTTCTTAGCCAGTATGGGATAGTTTTGATGATTACTGCTTTATAATATGGCTTGAGATCTAGTATTGTTAGGCCACTTCGTATTTTTTTTCCATTAATTATCTTGATAATTTTTGACCTTTTGTTCTTCCAGATGAATTTTGTTATTATTTTTCCTAGCTTTATCAAGCAATTTTTGATAGTTTGATTGGCATGGCAGTGAATAAGTTAATTTAGGTAGAACTGTCATTTTAGCTTTGCCTACCACAAGCAATTAATATTTTTCCAACTGTTCAGATGTGACTTTATTTGTGTGAAAAGTGTTTTGTAATTGTATTCATATAATTTCTGGGTTATACTGTCTACCATTATTTTAAATGGAATTTCTCTATCTTTTGCTACTAGGCTTTGTTTCTTACATATAGAAATGCTGATGATTTATGTGGGTTTGTTTTATATCCTGAAACTTTGCTAAAGTTGTCAATTTTTTCAACTAACTTTTAAGTTGATTCTCTAAGTATACCATCATATCATCTGCAAAGAGCGGTAGTTTTGTTTCCTCATTATCTAGTCTAATTCCTTCAATTTCTTTTTCTTCTCTTGTTTTTATAGCTAACATTTCTAATACAATACTGAATAACAGTGTTGATAAAGGGCATCTTTGATTCAACCCTGATCTCACTGGGAAGCCTTCTAGCTTATCCCCATTAAAGATAAAACTTGCTGATGGTTTAAGATAGATACTACTTGTCAATTTAAGGAAATCTC